CTTGTTATGTACATTAATACCCTCTACCAACTTAGTGAAACGTGCTGCTATCACACTGACTTAAAAACACTTAAAAAATGTGGAGAATTTTTAATTTTTTAAACTTCTTCCTTGAGAGAAGGAAGTAGAAGTATGGGGAAAATACAGCAATCTACTGACTCCTTTTTAACTCAGCTATATCAGTAAAGATCTATGTTCTATTTTCTCTTCCTAGGTCTGTGTTCAAGCCTTTCATTTTTGTGCCTGGTATTACTGAGTTATTAAAAACTAGCTCCCCTACATTTGGTCCTGATGATCCAGTCAAGAAGCAGCCACGTTTTCAGAGTAAGCCAGATCGAAGACACGAGCTCTATAAAAAACATGAAAGTGCTGCTGTAGTTATGGAAACTATGAAGGTATGTTGATTAAATTAGATTCCAGTCCAAGCAGGTGGTTTATATAAGCACCTTGCTCACGTTTTGTTAATGTGATATCATTAAATGCCCTTAGATGAATGGGGAAGAATATGGTAGTGCTCCAGAAGCCAGTCATCTTAGAAACATATGCCTGCCAGATTTCAACACTAAGAACTGAAACTAGCTGTACCCCTATGCGTAGCTCCAGAGAAGTATCTATGCTGCTTATCTTGCAAAGAAAGAGCTATACATGTGCCTGCACTAGTCAGACAACAGGGAAGCGGTTGAGCAACTGCAGGCAAATGTACAGCTCCTGATACAAGTACTTAAAACTCTTCAGGGCTCTGTCCTCTACCAGCAAGGAGATCATGTCTTTTACCATTGCTTGGTATGGACAGACTTTCTTATGCATGTCACATCAAACAACCTTACGAACAGAACCTCAGTTTGAATAGTCCAACTTCTGTTTCTATTTTTTCCTAGTATTCTCCTGCTTCTTCTCTCTCCTGCTCTTTTGACCACAAAATTAACATCTCACTGACAATGATGGCAACACTGTTACTAGTACATCTTCTCGGGATACTGGCAGTGCCAAGTTGTACCAAATACTAAAACCAGATACATTGTAGCAGCATGTTTACAACACATAAATTGTAGGTAGCTCTGGACTCAACAGTTACATGGATCCTAATTTTGCTGATCTAAATGGCAGCATGGATGTAGCAAGCACTACAGAAGTATCTGAAATACACAGAAGATATTCTGAAGCAGCCAAAATAACATAGCTTTAAGTAGTATATATTGAGGAATTTCCCTGGACATCAGGAAAGAAAACAAGATCAGAGAGATAGTTGGGCACAGAGGTAAAACAGGAAGGCAGGTACTTCTAACAACAGTGTCTCTCCTGTTTACACAGTTAACATGATCTAAAAAATGGACATAAGCCCACTGAAGTCTTGCTGGCTTAAATTCCTAGAGCAGCTCCCCTCCCAGGCACATTAGTCAAAGAATATGAGGGAAGTGGAGAGAGTTCTAGGTATTAGGGAAGATCTAAGAAAATTTGCAATAGTGCTAACTTCTATCAACAATTATAGGGTTAAATAAGGACAGCACAACAGCGTTTTGTGGGGGAGAACACTACATGTTTTGAATAGCTTCCAGTGAAACACAGACATTTCTTTTTGCAGGGCAAAGGTAAAGAAATGCTGGAAGAGATACAGACGCTGGAGAAAAGAAAGATGAGTGAAATGGAATCAATCCTGCAAAATGGATGTCCTGACGTAAACCAACTGGTTAACCTTTTTTCACAGTGTGTAGATGAAGAACTCAAAATATATGGTTAAAGTTACTGTTTGAATGGATTGCTTTTATATTTACCTCTTCTAATGGAGTGGCTCTATAGATTACCTCCTATTTTCAATATGCCAGTTATTTCATACAGACAGTTTTAAAGATGCAGATTTCTATTCAGGCCATACAGCTTTTGGTTGTAGGAAGCAAGGCAGAAAAGCCTCTCTAGAGCTAGGCAGTACCTTCATAAGTGGCAAAAACCTGTCAAAAGGGACTGATATGCCAACCAACAGATGCAATTAGAATTCAGTAGCTTGACTAAGTTGCAGAACAACCCCATGTTACACATGTGTAACTTTTATAGTCAAATTAATAATTGCAGCAGAATTTCTCCTTGCCTGAATTTACATGGCCAGGCTGGAAGACTTGCTAGAATGTAGAAAGTATTGCTTTCACTGAATAAAAAGGAAAGTGGTATGCAGGTTAAGAAAGATCGATGTTCAGCTCTTCAATAAATACTGTCTAAGGTGTATTTCATATATTCTACTCCTTTAACATCAGATGAGGCTAAGAACTTTAACTATACTGAATCCAAATCATAACTTGTATCATGATTTGTTGTGAAATCTGATTACTTGAAATTCAACAAACCAAGCATCTTGCAAGTTACCACACAATTTTCACTTCCCTATTTTTCCCACCAATACCAAAAATAATTTATTTACATACAAAATAATTATTTTAAATTAATTCTGTAATACATTTTATAACGTTGTTATAAACGTTGCTTCCTTTAAAAAAAAACTGTATTGTAACCTTTTTGTTTGCTTGTTTTAAATGAAGCAACTGGAAATGAATAAGTCAGGGTACATAAGTATATACATATACTCAGTGGAGCACTTAAAAGGACTTTTCAAGTTTTTTCATTTTATTTTAACCATACCTTGTTACGCTAAAATTGCTAGACTAAGAAGTTGATTTAATGAAGCTTTTCCTGCTAAAAGCAGTGGTCAAGCTGTGACACTACTTTTATTAACCGTAGCAAGGGATAAAGAGAGCAAAAAAAATGAAGGAAGGTTCTGACTTTGCTATGTGATCAAGCAGAATAAAAATTACAAGCGGAAGGAAAAAAATCTCAGTGCTTTTGCGGACCTTCAGAAGAGAATGTGTAAAATGAAATGGAGCTTTGAAATTACAGTGATAGTAGGTGACAAGATGCAGTATCCCCACAGACCACAGAAAGACCATTCCTTTGATGAATGCTTTATATTTCTCAGTTTCTGGAGTCATCTCAGATGTAAGAAAACTGCACAAAGTTTTGATATTTTGCAAGCCATTCTATATTCCCAGGGGAAGAAACAATCTAGGCAGATATAAGAAATACATATAAAATGAGATTTGTAATATGCTGCCAAACAAATAAGATGAAGAAAACTTGATCAAATTTGTCCTTTTTGATTTATGTGGTGGTAGCATATTCAGATCCACACCAACAATTGAATGGGTCAGCAACAGTTCTTCAACTAACTATATAGATCATGTATATATAGATCATATATTGACTGAGTGGCAGTAGCAAGACTGTTTAAGAAAGTAAGCTTGAGTCAACTGTGAACCTTTTGTGCATGTCTTATCACCATTTCTTAAAAATTCAATAGTAGAGCGTATGTTTGTGAACTAGATGGTATATTTAATAAATATATGCTGTATTTACCTGTTTTCCTCATGAATGTCTGTATCTGACAATTAATTTGCATCGGTGTCCTATTTGGGATCATCAGTTTTTCCACACTAGTTCCATAACAACTTCAAAGAAGCAATAAATGCCAGGTAAAACTTGCAGGAAACCAAGGTAAGAGTCAAGTTTACAAGCAGCATAGCAAAATTAGATGCACAATTTTATGCTACACTGCAAGTACAGTAAAGTTACAAGTAATGAAAATAAAGAAGGTGGTTGCACCAGGCCTTTAAGCAAACTTCTTGGCCACTTAATCTCAGGACAACAATTAACCAGGTTGTCAGGTTAAACACACGTTGGTCAGACTGTAATATATGCAGATATAGGCTAGCTGTTCTTCTAGTTTCTAGGTTGTCTTTCAGTTATTTGTCTACAGTATACACAGTAAAAACAATATGATGTGTTCAGATGTATCCAGTCGTGGCCAACAGAGTAGGAGATATTTTGGTACCTTTCTTCCTGGGATTTTATCTTCCCAGTACACGTGGTACAAAACACAAGATGAGAGCAGAAGGAATAAATAGCACTACACTTAAAAGAAGTATATATACATCAGAATGTCCTCTAGAGGGCAATCTTTGCATCTACTTCACCTAGAAATGTCTTAGAGATTTTTTTTTCAAATCTAGAACTTAATTAAGGATCATTATTTAAAAACTAATAATTTAAAAAATAAATACAGCTTCCAAGTTAACTGATATCTATCCTAAGCTAATCAACCTTCAAAACAAAAGAACTCATTGCATCACTGACCAAGTCTTAAAAGCAAAGCTATTTACAAAAACACACATCGGCAGATAAACAACTGCTCTACATTAAACTACCAACTACTTTAAAGCCTGCTGGTGCTCCCATGTGGAATCAAATATTTGTCAGCTATAAGAGTTAAATAACTTCCTAATGTTACTCTAAACCTGTTCTTTGCTTTCAAAAGTCTCCAATGATTTAGAAATATATTAGCATGTTCCATATTCGTTGTACAGTTTCTTTTGTTAATTATCATAGACTTTCATCAGACTAGCTACATCACAAGTCACAGTGTTGTAACAGTTCATGTAACCATAGCTTTTGTTGGTTGCTATCAAAAGATGTCCTCTTTCATTAGATTTTTAAAAGCAAACATCTCTAAGCAAGCATTTTGAGCAATTTCTTATTTAAAACAGATGTGCTGTTTTCAAACCTAGGAGGTATTAGAGCCATTATTAGGAGGCCAAGGCAAGGACATCATGATGAAAATGAGAGAGCTGAATGCAAGAATGATGACTAAACTTAGGACCATCAAACTGAGCTTAGTTAAGCTCGAATGTTTGAAGGATTTTCTGAAATAAAAAGTATTTGCTAAGGAGATTATTTCAAAACATTCCTGCAGATCTGAATTAGCTCCTTGCTGGCATCAGGAGCAGGCATGCAATTAGAAGAAAACTGGTGGACGTCCATTAACAACCACTCTGCATACTCCACATAGCAAATCTGAAATCCAGAAACCACTTTAACAAATCCCTCAGAAGATGCACTTCTCGTACAGCTCACATGCACACGTAACCCCCGCAAACCCTGCATCACACCATAGCCACAACTCTGAAATCAGTATCAGATTTATTAATAAGTTACAATATTTAGAAGCCAGACACATAGCTTCTGCTCTTTAGACATGTATATCTAGTCATTCCAAAATGTCTGATGTCTTCAGCAATTCTAATGGAAATAAAACTATTGGGTTTTTTTTTGTGGCCACAGCCCAGTACAAGTATCAATTATCTTGTTGCTGGAAACATTAAAATATGTCAGTTTGTGTAGCACACGTATATAGTTATGTTTCAGAGTACACTGAAGATACGCAATAAGACTGAAATCTTTTGCAAAGTTATAGCTACCATAAAATGACTGTTTCCTGAACAATAGTTTATGCTGCTAAAATCATTTTCAGTTCTTAATACAAAGTTTACACATAAGTAGCTGTAATAAAATCTGTGTTTAAAAAATAAAATTAAATTAAAGGACGCTTTTTTAAAAAGTCATTTGCTTTACTATTCCAGATGTGCAAATACTTTTTTAGTATTTTTGTTCTTTTCCCTCATTATATAATATTTTTATAGACAAATAAATGCCATTCTTTCAGCATTAGAACTGCTTTTCCTAGCAGTGTAATGGCTATCAGATACTGCAGTTTGTCTTTAACCTCTTCAAAATACTCTAGAAGTTTCTGCTTTCAGTGCATGAGAATCTGAATGACACTGGATTAACCACTTAACATCACAGAGGGATACCTGAGGCCTATTTGAAAATTCAGTTACATGCTCAATAATAACATTCTAATATCTCCAGCTTTTGTAAACCTTAACCTGGATGCTCCATTAGTCTTGTTTATAGAATAGACTTAGAAGTCAATGCATGTTACTTAAAAGATCTCATGGCTTGATAAAATGTTGGGTCTTGACTTGCACAGGTGTCCTAGGATTCTACGCATTCTCTGTCTGAGGCTGGCACTTCTGAATTATAATGGAGGCTTACTCCAGAAAGTAAAAATCCACTCTTGACAAAGCCGTTACCACCACTAAAAGGTAAAACTTCAGAACCAGCTGTTTATGTAAGAATACATTATTGTTTCCTAATTTGAGGAGTGGGGATTATTTTTGTATGTTTCTGCAGTATCTTTGTAGAAAACTATTTTTCATTCCAGTGGCACCAGTCTAGTACTAAAGTTGCTATTATAAGTGTATGTATACTATGTCAGTGACACATACTATTTTACTATTTGTTTTGCTGAAAATGGAAGAAATCCAGAGTACCTTGTTTTGATGTAGTTGCCTTCTGGTTTAGTGCTCACTGAGACTGGCTATCATTTGCTTCAGAATAGACAGAAGTAGAACCACATTTCTTAACTTTACACGAGAAGGTAATACGATTCTCCAGGAGCCCTGAGAAAGAAACACTTCCAGTTTCAGCAGCAAACCCAGAAGAGATGGTCACATTTACCCCTGCTTGCCTGCCCTCTGTCTACAAGCTCAGGTCATTGGCTCTCAGCTGTAGTTGCTCTCTTCTGAACAAAGCGGTAATATAAATATTCATCCCGAAATTCAAATTCATTTGTAATATGTTGGATGACACCTCCTTTCATCAGTCTGTCTCCATACATCACAGCTTCACCACGGTCAGAGGCGAGGCCAACTTGGATGAGCCAGTTCACCAGATCACAGCCAAAGAAGATGCCAGTGGAGGTCTTTGCACCACACCTGTATGTCAAAGGAATGATTCACCCACATGTTCTGTAAATCTGGTATCACCACTGTACGATGGGGAAAGGCAAGGAAAAATAGCAGGAAACAAGGAAAGACATCATGATAGTTAAGAACATGTTAGAGGAGAATTTGCAAGTTTTGCATATTAGGGACATGCCAGTGTTCACTACCTTTTCCTACAAACACTTCAATGAAAAGCAAAATTTACATACAAAGTTATTTTAGGCCTCTGTAAATAAATATCAACAAACAGAAGCAGCGGTTTTCCTACTAGCACACACAGCGCAAACCTATTTAGTGAATACTTACTTCCCATGTACTCATTAGCATGACCATTTCTGCAACAAAGTATGATTTGAGTGCAGCATGCCTGCAGCAGCAGGACCTCTGTCTGTGCTTCTATACCATTTTAAAATTTCTCTGCAGCTTCAAGCAGAAAACAGCTGCTTATATATATCGTAAACAAAGACTGTTTATCTTGAATATCTGGTTAAAAATTTACTAAAGCAGGCAGTACTAAGAATAAATGAAAGAAGACAACTAATTTACTAACTTATGTAACAGATTTATGAAGTAATTCCAGTAACATCTAGCCTTGTTGCAGTAAAATACCATTCTGAAATTTACCTGCAGCAATGAATGTTTCTGCTCATCTAAAATCTCCTCTATGGAACCCAAGCACGGGGTTTCTGAAGATGATTAACAATTGTGCTGGATAGCAAAAAATAAACTTCTATTTTTTTTCCTTTTTTTTTTTTTTTTTTTAATCTAAGTTAAAAGCAGCAGTAACATATAGCAAGTTACTATCATAGAGGAGAAAAAAAAAATCTAGCAAATAAAAATCCATGATCAGAAGGTCTCGGTTATAGGATGTTTAAATCAATGAGGATAGGATCAAGTTACATAAACATAAATGCTTCATTTTAATCCACAGGGAGGAAAAAAAAGGATGTGAAACTTGTTCTGCGCGAACATAATATGAAAACAATAAAGCAGTTAAAGTCAGATTTTGTTCTCAGATGATACATAATTAAGAAAAAAAAACCATAACAAAACACTAAAACTAACCAAGCAGCCCAAAACTCAAGAAACCTCAATAGCAGCAGAAGTGCAGGAAACACAGAACTTTAAAACTTGTCTTAATTCAAAATAGTTTCCAATACTTCATTTCTGTATGGCAAGTCCTTGCCCTGCCATAGTTCATTTTTTTTCCTAAATTAATAAAGTTGTCTCTGCTTTTACTTCTTAGGGAACACAGCTGTCAAAGAAATAGTTCTGGAATATGGTTTCAGATTATCTGATTATTGAAAGAATCTCCCCCTGCAGAACTAGTACTGCAAGAGAGCTTCCATGCCAAGAGAAGTAAAAATGTCCTGTTCAAACAACTTTTCATCTCTCTGCTATCATACATATATATATATCCTGCAATATATATATCATACTAGATATATAAATGCAGGCAAGTATCTTTTTCTTATTCCTGATGCTTCTGTCTGCATTTCTCTTCTCATGCACCTGAACACAACCGAATACATAACCTTTGATCATTATGATCTTTGATCATAATGTGGGTCTGCAAGCTTGGGCAATCTCACAATTTGGGGTTTAGGGTTCATGAGAGGAATCAGCAAAAGAAACTGTATGAACTCAAAAGGTGTAAAGTCCTAAGGATGTTCTACTCTCAGACAGCAAGTGGCTCTGTTGCAATAGTTTTGCCTCCTGCAATAGCTATTAGTAACATTTTCTATCATAAATACAAACACCTTATTAATTAGAAGACAAAAATGAAGCATCACACACGCTGTTACAGACATTGACACATACACTTCTTCAGAAAGCTTTTGTTTCTAAACTCCTGCTAATTGCAAGAACTGGGGACAGGACTTAATGAGGAGCTACAAAACCTTAAACTAGATTAGACAACATGATAATTTGTACCTCAGTGTTTCAGTCTTAGACAATAAATATTTTCTACATGTTACTGCAAAATTCTTAATCTTCACTTGAAGGTTTGAGTGAATAGGTCAGAACAGAAATCACCAACAGAATGACTGTACTGCATTTCTTTATTTCCAAAAGGTGAGCTATGAGCTTTGTTAACAGGTTAAATATGAAGGGGGAAAACCTTACCTTCTGCCTTTGACAATGCTTTTGACACAGTGATCTCTATGATAATGAACAAACTGTTGACAGGTCATCCTGATTTCCTCAGGTAGAGTGGGATCTGCATGCCCTTCTGCTTCTCTGCCTCCCCAGAGAAATTCAAGCCTGGGGTGGAGAGATGGGAACAACAATAAAAATTTAAATCAAACAAAGGCACTTTTAATGAAACTGGAAATAAGAATGGAACTCACAGGAATCTCATCACAGCTTTTTACTGTTTTTCTGCAAATGTTTTTAAATATAATCTTCCTATTATACTTGTACACCCTTTGAACATTGAGAAGTTTTACTTTGGGTTCAGGCTGAAGGAAGGACAGAGAGTAGCCAGCCCTAGGTGCTGGATTCACAATGCAGCCAGCTAGCTCTAATTTAAAGATGACTTTGTACAATTTACTTCTTCAAAGTAAGGTACCAATGAAAGTTTCCATCCACACAAAGAACTTGTATGAGCTAATTAATAGAGGACTTTAAAACAGTGCTGAAAGAATCAGGACCAGCACTCACAAATAAATTTTTTTCTTCAGCTAAAATTATTTCTGAAGATCCACTACTACACGTTTTACCATTGTTAGACTAGGATTTTGTCTATTGGGAGTTCCTGAGATTTTTGTCAGCATGAGTTTATTAGTGCAGCAGTAAAAACTCACATACAGTGAACTGCAATTAGCTCTCCATAACTGGGAGAGAAAAAGAAATTTTAAAAATAAAACTAATAGGGAATTTGAACGGTATGGCACAGAACACTCAAAACTCTTTTAACATCATTGTTGTTAATAATTAAACTTGTACACCTAAGTGTAAACATTCTACTTACCTTCGCTTGAATGGCAAAATGATTAAATGCTTATCTAAGCCAAAAATACCAAAGGAAATGAAGCCCTAAAGGAAAAAAAAACACAGAGAAAATAGATTAAGCAAAAATTTTTGACTTCTGAAGAACAGAAATAAAGTGTTAACAACTAATTGTCAAAACACAAATTAAGAGTATCTCTCTTTCTTAGTCATGATTTGATATTCATTTTGTTTCTGCTTTTTCACTTAGTCCTTAAAAAGACATATTAATATATAACAGTCTGTCAAAGAAATTCTCAAAGAAGCAGTTCAATAAGTAAGCTACCTGATGAACAAAATGTCAGTATCTCTACGTAGCCAGTTATTTCAATCTGTCTTTGTTAACATCAAGAAAAGAACTTACTACAATTACATGCTGTAATGTTCTCCTACTATTCTTCCATGCTGCTTTTGTATCCAAGCCAGATTATCATTGCTTGATTCTGCACTGCATCTTAGAGGTGCACTTGTACACAGACCTGAGAAATACTCCCTCTGGTAAGTACTAACACTCTTCTGCTTTCACCTTCATAGACCACCAATCTAACATGTCATTTTGCACTGAAATAAGCTATGTGCAGTTGTAACATTTGTACATCTACTTGTGTCAAGTATTACTTAATAGTGAAGAAACTGAAATTGCACAGGTAGCAACTTAAAGCCCTATAGCCAAAGTATCCTATGTAGCTATACTGTATCTATGCAGTTATGCAGAAATTTCCTGCTAAAAATAAAGCTGAAATCCTACTCTGTCTCAATGGGCATTTGGCACTCAGCTGCCATTTGTACCTTTTAAAGTGCTCATACTCAAAGCAATCACATTATGGTAAGACAACTATCAAAAGAAAAGAAAAAATTTTGGGGGAAAAAAATCAGAACAGCTTAAGAATCTGGTGTCTTCAGTATTATTTGAGGACTTCATTGTACAGCGCTTGTAACAGCAAGAGCTGCAACATCTGTCAACAAAGCTATTTGCAAAATAAACATCAGCAAGTACCTGACCAAAATTAAACACAGCACAGAAGAACTGCAATTCCACATACAGTCTTCCAGGTTCTTGGTTGAACAGCCACCATAAACAGCTGGAAAGATTCTGTAAAAACAAAAAACAAACAAGAAAAATAAAATACTACAAACCAAACGTTAAAGTTAAAATCACCTTCTTATTCTTCACCTGCATTTATTCAACAAATAATTCACAAGAAGACAGTAGGAGAGAAAAAACATTTTAAAACATTATTTTAATTAGACTTAATAGCTGGGGGTAAACAAATGAGCTTATTTGTTTTTAAAGAAACTAATGGAAAGCATATCAGTGTAGAGGTCCTGCCTGTTCACATGTTTATACAAGGAACTTGCTTTAAGCATTCTCAAGTATTCAAGCTAACACAGACAATATTAACACTTGCAATATTTGTCTTGAGGCCTGTTGAGCTGAGACCACTGCTTTCTACATATTTTCTACATAGTTAAGATTGCATTAAGCTGAAGCACGTCACACTTCAGCTATCTCAGATACCTGATTAAAGAAAATAAAACATCCAAAGTTAACCCCTTTGGGTGAAAAGGATAATGAACTATTATAATTGATCTCATTTCATCGTATTTAAGTATTCATTTGGATTCAGTTGAAAATAGAGGGTCAAATTTGGGACACCACTGGAACACAGAAAACGTATCAAATATTCTTTTCCAAGATATATTTTTACTGCAGGCTTCAGAGTAGACTTTCTTTTTTAATTTCATAGGCAATATCAACCTTAGTTGCCTTGTTCCCAAATCAGCATGAAAAGCAATGAAAACGCATTCTTCCATTTCAAATAACATCTTACAATATCTTATTTACTAAAATGCCTCTACAAAGTCCAAATTTCAAATTCAAGCATGATCAAATGGAACACTTTTTGTACAGTCTCTTTCAGAAGTAGAATTCACTTCACACTTTTAACTGCTATCTAGAGAAGATGTCTAGCTCTTGAGAAAAAAATAGGACAAGGAGTGGTAGTGATGAATTAATTACCCAATGATGTGATTCCAATTTTTTCCTGTCCCTTTGGGGTTCTCCAGTGAAGTTTGCTCACTGACACTGTTGCCTTAACTTGCCTTTAATTTTTCTGTGCCACACAATAAATTAATCTTATGATACACCTCCTACAATAGGAGAAAAAAAATAAAGCCTCTGATTTACTTAATATATTACTATAAAAAGTAGGAATTGGAAGATTTTTTTTTTTACTGGGCTGTCTACATAGCCTTCCTACAAATGGTCCCACCTCAATGAGAGAAACAACAGGGAGGAGAAAAAAAGTATTTACAGCAAAAAGGCCAACAACAAGAAGCAAGCACAGCAGCACATGTCTGGCCAGCTGTTTGTCTCCAGTCTGTAGAAGCTGTTCTTCCTGAGCCAGTACGCAGGTCTGAGCACTACATTGATTCACACACTGATCAGCTGAAAAACAAACCAGAAATTTTTATTAGGCTAACTTACTATCTCTAAACTGATTAGTAAACTCGCTAGCATAACTTGTTGAATTAAATCACCTTGTGTTTGTACTGAAGTCCTACACACATAATGCTAGCTTTGACAACCACCAGTTCAGACATCTATCCTCAAATGGAACAGTTTGTATTCCTAAGATGAAGAAACTTCACAACAAAATTCTTCCTTCAAAGGACTAATAAAAATTGTGGTTAAGAGTTAGCGATAATGAAATATTAGCAATGTCCTCAGAACAGATTTTAAACCTAGAATTAACGTATGGAATAAATATTCTAAGTATACTGCAGCTGCAATATTTGTACTCCATATGTCAACGCTGCCACATCAGAAGAGCAACCATATTTATTTCAGTTCTGCTACCGTATTTCTAACACACTATAACAGATAATTGCCATAATTCTATTAAATAAAAGAACCAAATACACAGAGAATAGATGCTTTTTGTTCACGTGGAGTTCTCAGCAATTCTGAGCATATTCCTCTAGATGGCAGTGAAAAACTTAACAGTGAAGGACATAACTAAGACTTAGTACCAAATACCTTTCATAGTTCAATGGGATAACAGAAGGATTGGTAATGAATGCAGTCAGTTACATAAGTGTATCCATTACAATTTGCTTTTAGGGATTTATAGTTTCGAATTGTTCACTCCATAGGCAGAAAAAAAATCCCACTTAATCGTAAGATTCAAAATACATTATCTCTTATGATAAGGAAATTAAATTGCCCTTTCCCTATCACTGGAAGACCTTGTTATGGTGTTTCTCTGAACTACTTCATAGAAAAAATAGTTGGCAATAAGTAGAAAGCTACATACTATGAAAGGAGATAAAAAAAGGTACGTTTCAGCAATGGAATATTTAGTTTTGTTTGAAGTAATTCTGCATTCAGATAAAACATATGAATATGGACTACCTTGTTAAAAATGGAAAAAAAAAAAACAGAGAAAAAAAAGGCTGCCCTGCAGATAGCTTTCGTTGTTGAAAGTGATGTATGATGAGAATGGGCTGAGCATGCAATTTTCCAACAGGTGCTGAAAGCCACTTTGATCCAATCCTCAATTTCAGTGACGCCTAAGGCCCCCTCAGTCAATTTTCTCCATGTTTCTCCCCAAGATTTGGATAATACAGCAGCACGGACATTTGATCTAGTCTGCAGTAAGTACTTGCTTTTCTAGACCTAAAGTTTCTTATTCAAAACCTGTGCATGACTACAATAAAAGCTTTAAAGACTTCAGGGTGGAAATAAGATTTGAACAGAAGTATATAGTAAATTTACTTTAGTCCTACCTTGTCTAGATTTTAGCAGTTTAACATTGAGCAATCACACTCCTCCCAAAAAAACAAATCTACCAAACATACACAGAACTGTCACTCTTAAGCAATTAAAGATTTCTAATGAATAACAAGAGCTGCATAAATACCAATGCACATATCAACACTTGAATTTAATATGAAATATAAATTATTGAAGCAGAGTTGAGAGAACAACTGTTTTCAACGTGACTTGAGAGAACAGACAGTTTCACTGCTACTGTGTTAGAAATACAGCAGCAGAACACAAATGCTGTGGAAGAGAGTCAACCATAAAATCATAGAACAGTTTGGGTTGGAAGGGACCTTAAAGACCACCTAGTTTCAATCCCCTGTACTGGGTCTGACTGATATAGAGTTCACTTTCCCCACAGCAGCCTACACAGTGCTGTGCTCTGCACTTGTAGCTGGAACAGCCTTGATATCACCTCAGTGTTTGCCTATGGCTAAGCAACACAGGCACAGCACTGAGGCTCTCTCCAGGCTCCCAGACCCAGCAGGCTGGGGTTGGGCAGGAGCTGGGGTTTTGGGGAGAGGACATGGCCAAGGCTCTTGTTGTGAAAAAGCCTGTCCAGAACAACTGCCACACATATTGAGGTTCTGATTCAACATGTGACTTAACATCACTTGATAATGAGAAGTAGAGAATAATTGTTGGTTGGTTTTTTTTTCCTCACTGTGCTTGTTTTTTTCCTTCTCACCTTTCTTTTCCCTTTAGTTTGTTATCCTTATCTGATACTTTGAGACTTTTTTCCCCCCTTACATCATATTTTATCTTCCTCATCTTCCTTTGAGGAAGGGGAGTGAGGGAGTGTTGTAGTAGAGTTCAGGTGAGGGAGTGTTGAGGCAGAGCTCAGTTGGCCATTGGTGTGAAACCATCGCATCCTCCTGCCACAGGCAGAGAGATCTTTTAGACCAGGTTGCCCAAAGCCACATCCAACCTGACCTTGAACACTGCCAGGTAATGGGGCATCCAAAGCTTCTCTGTGCAACCCATTCCAGTCTGTAATATTAAAACATGGATACACTGCTGTTTTACCTGTCTCAATTGAAGGAACCTTGTTTTCAACAGCATTTGGCACTGCTTTGTCCTCCTTAGCACAGGATATTTCCCCATTTGTTGTTTGGCAAGAACAGCAACCTATTAAGGATAATAGGATAGTTAGTTTCCTTCACTGCCATAATTCATTCTCCAAGTATAATACTATATGCTATACTTCAGTATATTCACAGATAATCTAAAAGGGGAAAGCAGGGAATCGTTCCAATTTGCTGAGAGAGCACATGCATTTTATTACAAAAACATAGAAATATTTAACATAGCACTACCACCATGGAAGCAACACAGGCGCTTTTAGCTAGAAGAAAAACACAAGAGAAGTGAGTAAGAAAGCCAAAGTCAAACAAGGATTAGCAACGTTGTAGGATCAGCAATGTTGAAAGCATATAACTAATTCTCAGAGAGACAGTTTACTGGGTAAATAACCTGTGAAACCTACTGGACTGCATTTATCATATGCTTATGAAAAACTATCACTTACAGAAAACCTACATACGTGTTTGTTTGGTTTTTTCCCCGTCTACTTCCCCCACTTTACAATAATAATAATCAAACCTTCCCTAGAAACATAAACCTAAGTCCTTGGACAGTTATATCTAGATTTTTCTTTCTAACTAACTTCACATTTGAAGTTGTAAACAACAATCCCTCCCAGGTCAGAATTAAATTTAGTACAGTTCTGTTTGTTTTTGTATCCCAAGTTGTTAATTTGTTCTTACAAAGCTATTTTCTATACCTCTTTCTGCAGACAGTTGTGCAGAACAACCTGCAGAAGATTGTGCAGGAGAAGGTTGTGCAGAAGACCCTGCAGAAGGTTGAGGCACAGTGGCTGAAACTTGATTCCCCTCGTTCCCTTCCACTTGGCCATGAGGTGAATATGGATTCAGTACCTCATAGTTCGACTCTTGTCTATTTCTGTTCATGCACATAAGTGAGATGCCTGACATCAATATGCTGATGAACAGGACCACTGCTGTGGTGATTATCTGTTAAGTAAAAAGAGAGAAAAGAAAGTATATACCTAAATACAAACTAAAGGAAAATTGTTGCACATATCTTTCTTTCTAACTTCTGCAGCTTCCTGAATACACTAAGAAATGCATCCACAGAGACAGATTTCTGCTATTCCATCTCGTAGCACTGAAGGAGCATTTAGTACATGAAATTAGTTTTCTTTTCATGAGTAAGCCAGCTACTTTTCTTTTATTTTCCTCCTCTTTCCTTCTTTTTTCTCTTA